CCCAAGTCGTCCCAGGCCATGACTGGGTCTGGACCCACGCACCTGCCGCACCCATGCGCCCGCGAGTCCAAGGGCCGCGCCCACGAAGATGCCTCTGCTCGCGAGTTCCCGGCACGCCACATCCTGCTCGCGAGTCTCCACAGCCGCGCCCGCGAAAGCTGCCGTGTCTGCGAGTGCCCAGTACCCGCGAACTCCACACCCGCGCCAGCGGAAGGTGCCTCGCCCGCGAGTCCGCATGCCTGAGCCCGCGAACCACCTGCTGCCCACGAGTCCCATGTCCAACTGTCTTGCTCGCGGAATTCGCTCGCGAAAATCTACTTTTTGCTCTCGAGTTCGACCTAATCTGCGAGTTTTGTTCATTAAATGTGTGTGTTTTAGTGTGTGTTTGTGGTATAGCTATAAATAGACATTGTGCTTTGTAATGTGGAGATAACACCCTCATTTTCCAACTTTTAAGTTGGGAAATCCTCTCAATTTTATCTCTTTTCTTTTTATGTTTTGGTTTGGAGGTCCATGACTCTACTTTTCCGGCAAAATTTAGGTGATTATATTTTGGGAAAAAAATCTTTTTCACCCCAATATAAAGACACATTAAGTTTTTCACACCGCCCAATAAAAAACTAAGTTTCTCACCCCGAAAAGTGCGAAGGTTATGCGAAAACTGTCGCATATTCATCGCATAATTGTCGCATATGCGAAGGTTATGCCAAAAACTGTCGCATATCAATTGCATAACTGTCGCATATTCATCGCACAATGCCTTCGCACTTTAACTTTTTTTCATCCCAGAAATGTGCGAAGGGATATGCGAATGCCTTCGCACTTTTAACTTTCGCACAATGTCATCGCGCAATTGTCGCACGCACAATGTCTTTCGTACTTTATGGGGTGAAAAACTTAGTTTTTTATTGATCGGTGTGAAAATCTTAACAAGACTTCAAAAACAGGGTGAAAATAGCTATTTTCATCCAAGTTTTGAGTTTTATTTATTATTTTCGTCCAAGTTCCAAACAACCTTCATTTGAGAACGGCTCAGATCGGATAGTCCGATTATTACATACCCACAAAAATTACAAACAGAGATAGCGAGGTTTTTGGCGGAGGAATTGAAGATTTTTTCCGGAGTAGAGAGATAGCTGGGCGCTATTCTGTCTTTTAAAATGGCCACACCAAGAGTCAATTGATAACAAAAGTCAAAAATCCATTTTCGACCCTTTAGTTCAGAAAAAAAATCTTTAAATCAAAGAACCCACAAATTTGTACCAAAAAATAACCCACAAATTGACGGTCCAAGATTACGGACAGTGTAGCAATTATTCATAATCTTCAGCCAGAAAGCAAAATAGTCAACTTTTGATAATCAATCTTTCCCTCCAAAAATGCGACTCAATGAAATAAAACACGTTTTTCCTTTTCAAGTTTACAAAATTAACAAAATATTGAATCTTGACTACCAAGTACGGATACACTCTATGGAATAAATAAACAAAACAAATAGTGACACGTGACTCAAAAATTCTATGGAGCCATTAAATGGTTTTCTTATGGAGTCATCGATCAATTAATGTATTGACACATGTCCAAAGTGTATTAATTGTAGAACACGTGTCAATACACTATTTGTGAATAAATATGGATGACTCCATAAGCCGAACCATCCGATAGCTCCGTAACAAAACTGTGAGAATTTACCAAGTCCACCATAACAATACTGTTTTATTAGCCAAAATAATACTGAAAAGATATTTTTCCAAAAAGTAAAACTAACACGTTTTAATGCTAAGGCATGCTACGCTGTAACCTTCTTGAGGCTCGTTTATAAATAGAGCACTCTCCTTCACAATCAACAACCACAAAACTAGTTTGATTTGACCTCCCCCTCCAATTATGTGGTCATCCAACTTACAAAAATAGTTACAATTGGAGGGGAGGTCATAACCGTCTATACCGTAAAATCAATTTTCGCCTCTCAGAGAAGGGAACGAAGGAGATGAGGCGAAAGGCGAAGGGCAATGTGGTAATTTCCTGTTTATTTGAATACCCCCGGTTTGCAAGCATTTCGTTTGCTTCTAATTCTACAATCGAGGCGCGTAGAATTATCTGTAATGGATCAAGATAACCTGAAGGCCTAGTCCCTCGCATCCGAGTTTTTCCCTTTCCTCTGCCTATGAGATCAACGAATAAAAAACACATATATGGTATAATTTATAAAATTACAAAAATAGTTATATTCATGACATAATTATAGCTAACATTTTTATTCATGATATAATTTCTTTTTTGTAATTTTATAATTATTTACTAAAAAGGTATATCAATTATTAAAAACATTACTTAATAAAAAAGTATAATAATTTTTTAAAAAATTAACTACAAAATTAAATTAAATTATTATAAAATTACAAAAATAGTTTTATTCATGACATATTATAGTTAACACTTTTTACTATATTTTTCATTAAATGATAATAAAATTATTAAAAAAAAAGCAATATAATGTCATGAATAGAATGTTAACTATAATTATCTGATAAACAAAACATTGTTTTATAATTTTGACATAATTTAATTTTAAAAGAAGCTAAAAGAATATCGATTAAAAATAACCATCACAAAATAAAAGTATTTAAAAATGTTTTCTAATTTTATTTTAATGTATATTGTATCCTTATTCATAATTATATTTTTATAAATAGTTATAATAAATAATTATATGTAATCACAATTTTATCTAATTTAGTTAATAATATTTATATTAATTAATAAATATAATAATTTATATAACAAAAGAAGAGCATAACAATATAAAAATAGGAAAAATTTTAAAAGTAGTCATACAAAGTTTAGTGTCATGCCACGTGTGATGACTACTGCCAGCGTGTCAAGAAAACCCACCACCTCTGCACCACATGGCATATCAGGTCTTTCAGACCCGAAATCGCATCAAAAGTCCGAGTTTTGATTACTTTTTGAAAGCTGTGAGACTATTTGTGACCTTCACTATTTTGCGGGACCAAAAATGGCACCCCCTCAATATGTGGGACTAGTTTTGAATTTTTTCCGTAATAATATATACTAGTAAAACACTCGTGTATTACACGGGTGCTTCTTAAAATATATTCTTGAATTTTAAAATTAATAAAAAAAATTATTTTAAATTTTATTTATTTTTTTACCAAAAAAATATATATTATTATATCTTTTAGAATGACACTTGTTACTTGTGCGACTTACATGTGTTATTTTATTATTGTTAAAAAGATAAATATAATTTGTTTTTATACATACAATATAGAAGTTAAATCGAAGTTCATCAAGAGATGAATAATTTGATATATTATATACGTAAAACTAATACAAAAATAAAAAAGTTTTTAACTTTTAAAACTCCTTTATAATTCAATGGTTATAATAAGAAATAATATCAAAATACAATTAATACATGTAACAACACTATAAATAATCAACATATTTATGGATAAATCGGACCTAATTCTTTTTTGAATTGGAAGTAAATTAAATACTACATAAATGTAATAATAAAACATTTAATTTTGTCACATAGAATCACAAAATATGCGAGTTTGTCACTAATATTCCATGTGTGATGAAATATCTCACTAGCTATCTCAAACGCTCGTCAAGTGGAAGCAAATTTAATAGACCGCACAACGAGTCAACCACGAGTCAACGGATAACAAAAGTAAAAAAGCCATTTTGCTTTAATGGGCAACTTTTTCCTTCCCACCTATGGGATAAAATAAGATAATGCGCGCATATATTACTATGAATTTACCAAGTCCACCAAAACAATATTGTTTTACTGGCCAAAACAATAATAATGCTAAGGCATGTTAACCTTCTTGAGGGTCGATTCATAAATAGAGCACTCTCCTTCACAATCAACAACCACACAACTCGCCACATTCAGATAATATTTACTTCACAAAAGAAAAGAAAAATGGAGAACTCCGACAAATTCAACAGGTTTTCCAGTTGCAGGGGCGTGGCGTTCGAAATCAAACCCCACCTCGACCCATTTGTCGTCCCAGATAGGGTCACCACATGGTCGGGAGTCAATGATGAAACTTTAGCCAAAATCGAGGAAGGCAATGTTCAAAACAACTGCAACCAATCACCTCAGCCGCTCCTCGTCCTCCCGCCCGCCATCAGCAAAAGTTGCCAAACTCCTACCAAACCGAAACTCTCGAGGCTTTCGGTTATCTTCCTCCACCAGGGCCTCTTCACTGTTTACAAGCGTCTCTTCTTTGTCTGTGTGGCCCTAAATGTAACGGGACTAACCCTCGCGGCTACCGGAAACTTCCCCTATGCCAGGGCCAAACCCGCCTTGTTCTCGATCGCAAATGTCTTCGCGCTCGTCCTCTGCCGGAGCGAGGCATTTCTGAGGCTCTTCTTCTGGGCAGTCGTGGCCGCTTTTGGCCACACATGGGTCCCTCTGCGTCTCAAGACTATGACGACGTCCCTACTGCAGTCGTTCGGAGGCATACACAGCGGCTGCGGAATCTCCTCTATAGCCTGGCTCGTCTACGCCCTCATCCTTGCTGCGAAGGACGGATCCGGCACGCCACCGGAGGCTTTTGGCGTGGCGGTGTCAATCCTCGGCCTCCTCACGCTGTCGGCAGTTGCAGCGTTTCCGCTCCTCCGACACCTCCACCACAACGTGTTCGAGCGGACCCACCGGTTTGCAGGCTGGGCCGCCCTTGCTCTCCTATGGGCATTCGCCTTCCTCACCGTCTCATATAACCCTATAATCGAATCCTACTGGGATGAGTTCGGGTTGAGGCTTGTCAGAAGCCAAGAGTTTTGGTTCACGCTCGCCACAACTGTATTGATTGTCGTACCGTGGCTGACAGTGAAAAAAGTCAAAGTGCAAGTCTCATCTCCGTCTGGTCATGCCGCCATCATCAAATTTGAGGGTGGGGTCAAGTCCGGGATCCTCGGCCGGATAAGCCCGTCGCCGTTTTCTGAGTGGCACGCGTTTGGGATTATCTCGGACGGGAACAAAGATCATATGATACTGGCGGGTGCGGTCGGAGACTTTACCAAATCTTTGGTTTCGAACCCCCCGACACACCTGTGGGTCAGACAAGTGCACTTTGCGGGTCTTCCTTACCTAACGAACATGTATGGTAGGGCTTTGTTGGTGGCGACGGGGTCGGGGATTTGCGTGTTCCTATCGTTCCTTCTGCAGCCGAGCGTAGCTGAGGTGTGCGTGTTGTGGGTGACAAAGGGAGTGGAAGAGAATTACGGAGCGGATATTATGGGGTGGATGACTGAGGCTTCGAAGGCTGGAAGGGCTATCGTACATGACACGGCCGTGATGGGGCGGCCGAATGTGGCGGAGATGACTGTGAAGGCGGCAAGGGGGTTTGGGGCTGAGGTGGTGATCGTGACCAGTAATCCAGAGGGGAGTAGGGACGTCGTTCGTGCATGCAAGGTCGCTGGCTTCGCCGCCTTCGGCCCCATTTGGGATTCTTGATTTGAAACTATATTATATCTTGATTGATTAATATTATAGTATCGAGAAATTTTTTAAAATTAGTCCCACATGCATACAGGTGACATTTTATGTCCCGACAGAATAATGAAAATCAATATAGTTCTACAGCTTTCAAAAAAATAATCAAAAGTAGAACTTTTATTTCAGGCCCGAAAAGCCACATCACGCAAAGGTGACGCTTTTTCTTGACAAGCTGACAACAGTCATGACACGTGACATGACTCTATGCCTGTTGGACTCGTTTTGAAATTTTCCTATAGATTCTTATACTCTTCTTTTGTTATATAAATTATTGTATATATATATATATTTATATTTATTAATATTCTATACTATTTATATATATATATATATATATATAAAATATTAATATAGACAAGCATTATGAATATCGTCATATTATATAATTTTCTCGAATGCGTTGGACTAAGTGGCAGACTTTCATGCTTCGTAAGATTATTTGACATAAATTTGTGTTTTGTATTGATAAATGTACAAGTTCGGTTTTGATTATTTGACTTGTTTATCATAAACTAGTTTAGCTTTTCTTTTTTCTTAAGTCACCATACATTACTCTTATATTTTTCTTATTTAATTTATATTTTAATTACCATAAATTAGTATTATTTTTTATTTTTAAACTTTGTAACTTTTTTATTTGTATTTTATTTTTATACATGATAAAATAATCGTATTTTAATAATATTCAATTTAACATCCATATTATATATATATAATAAAAATCATGTGTGTTCTTTATATCTTGCACATTTATTTCAATTCTAGGCTTACTTTCCCCCAATCCACCCATTAATCACTCCCTAAAACATTCTCTCTCTCTCTCTCTCTCTCTCTCTCTCTCTCTCTTTTTTGGTATTAGAGATGGAGGGCAGAGGCCCAAAGATTACTATACTATAACTCGTCGTGGGTGGCCACCCCACTGATGTTGTTTGTACCGAACTGCCCGATTCGAGTCGTTCACAAATGAAGGCTATTCGGAGCATTATTTACTATCTAGTCGTCAAAATCACATAATCGGAAATAAATTCCTAAACATTCTACTCGCTTGATGGGATTGGATTGCACGAAATTAAACTAAAAATCTAAGAGAAAATGATGAAAGATGCAAAGGTAGGGAGAAAGATCAAATCTTTGGTTGCACGGAGTATCCATAACTCAAGAAAAACGAAAAAAAAAAAACATGCGAGCAAAGTTGTTGTCGTATGATTCTTAACAACGATGTAATGTGGAGTTTATATGATAATGTCAAGTGGTTTGGACGTAAATCATGCAAGAAAAATTCAACAGTGGCCCCGGTCCGAGGTGGACCGAGGTGAAAAGCCTTTATGGGCTGCTCCGTGTTTCATTGTAAAAATGTTGGGTTCCGAATCCCCTTACAGATATCAAGGGCTAAATATTTATTGTAACCTTTTTTATTCATACATTGGGATCCGTGCACTGTTTTGTAGCAAAAGCTACTTTCGAAGGGCGGTTGGACTAGTGGGCCCTACGTGAATGATGACAAATCTCGTAGATCGTGACAGGGGCATGTAGGCGCCTCGTCACCTGTTTTAGGAGGTGACGACCTCGGTTCACGTTGACCTCGGTTTAGAAAGACTTCAGCGGGAGAGGATCACTTCGGTCTTTTAGGGTTGCACCGGTTTATTCCGCGAACCGGGATGTCTTTAAGTTACATCGGTATCCGAGTAAAATTCGCTTATGGTGCTGTTTTGGGCCCTTAATTACGATTTACCGAGTCAGATGATAACAAAAGTGATCCTAGGTAATCTAACACGAGCTTCTACACTTAATCATCACGCTTTGAACAAAGTCGAGACCTTTACACTAGATAAGCACGTATTGATTCCTAACACATGTAAGCAAGCAATGAAAATAAAGCGAAAACCCAAAAACGAGCATCTACACAATATTCGTAAAACAAACACGAATTAGTAAGCCCTAAGCAGGGTACTTACTCTCCTGTCGTATGCCCATACAAAAATGGTGCGTAAAACTCGAGTCTTGATTAAAACTAAGGTTGCCAGAATTTCTCCAGAAAATCGAGTTATGAACCTCCAAACCAAAGCATAAAAATAAAAGAGAGAATATAGAGAGGATTTCCCAACTTAAAAATTAAGAAATGAGGGGTTGTGTCCAAAAATACAAAGCACAATGTCTATTTATAACTACACCATAAACACACACTAAAAATACACGCACAGTTAATGAAATTCTTCAGTTTGTGGGTCTCGAAATCGATTTCACAGAGAGTGTAGCATTATTTGGTGCTGGCAGGGTGCGTTCGTCGATCGCGAAATCAGTTTCACTGAGAGTGTGGCATTATTTGGTGCTAGCAAGGTGCGTTCGCCAGTCGCGAAATCAATTTCACTGAGAATGTAGCATTAATTGGTGTTGGCAGTGTGCATTCGCCGGTTGCGAAATCAGTTTCGCTTCGAGTGCCCGCATCATGGCAATGCCTCAGAATGATCTCTTTCTCTCGGTAGCTCGGATGGCTCGATAAAATGGTTCGGACGGCTCGAAAATGTCTCAGAAATGGTTCTTCTTCCCAAACTCGAATAATGTGGACCTAAACAACACAAAAAAAGTACGAAAAAACACAAAAACACACGAAGAGAATTAAAATGCACAAAATACGATAAAATTGACCGTCGACACTAAAACGAACCTAAAAATGACTCAACTAAAGCACATAAAATACAATAAAGCACCACAAAAACGTAACAAATGGATGTCGTGATCAAGTCATTCACCCAACCCTGGGAGAGGTGACGAGATCCTTTGCAAGCCCAACAAGGAAGAAGCCGCTAAGTCTGTTATATGATCAGCCGCAAAGTTAGCTTCCCTATGCACATGTTGAATCCGAACACTCCAAATTCTATGCATCAAGCTACGAATGGCTTGGACTTGAGAATCGTTGGCTCCAAAGTTATCTTCTGACCCAAGGATCATTCTCGTGACACATTGACTGTCGACCTCTGCTACAACCTGTCGAAATCCTAACTCCTAGGCCAACTGTAGTCTCTGAAACAGACCCCACAGTTCGACCCCCATAATAGTGCAAAATTCAATATTCATGAAGAATCCTTCGATCCATCTATCGAGCTCATCACGAATCAAGCCACCATTACACATGCCCGTGGTGCGGCTAAAAGCCCCGTATGTGTTCACTTTGATCCACCCCGAATCCAGCGGGAACCATTGTATCATATGAAGAGCGTGCACCGTAGCTCCCACCCTCACGTAGGCCTCAACTGCCTTTTCATATGTTTTCATTTTACGAAGGATGTCCAAGCATCGAGCTTCACAACCTAGAGTCTGGCTGTTGAAAATACGTTCATTTCGCCACTTCCACGAACTCCAAACAACAAATACAAATGTGCTACTCCACCTCTTGCACGGACCCAGTTGCGCCCGCCCTAAATTATTCCTCAACCACGTTGGTGGTTGGAAAAAAGTTGCAAGCAATATCGGTTGGAAGGAGCCTATTCCACATGCTCTTAGTGATTAGACAGCCTCTCAAAACACGCAAAGCTAATTCGTTCACGCCACATACCCACAGTCTGAGGAAGCGGAGATATGCCTCGGAACCCGCTCGTTGTTGGTCAGTAAACGGTCCTTAGCTGCCAACCATAAGAAGGTTCCAACCATTGAGGCACTGGTGATCTCCAAATCATTTTCCAAAGTCGTCGATCTGGGTCTCTCTCCGGTTGAACTAATGTTGTGTAGGCCCTTCACGTAGAGAATTTTCCATCGTGGGAGGATCCCCACATAAGACGATCCTCCCCAGCTATTTCTCTTGGTGGAACGATCCCGGCAATACGCGTGATGATGGCTGAGGGGAGAACTCCATGAAAAGAGTCCCATTTCTAGTTACCTCTTACGTCCACGAACTCCACGACGGTCAAGTGAAGGGTATTTTCCGGCGGCCATTGAGAGACATGATTTAGTAACGAGCCGAGTGTGTCTACCCAAGGATCAAGCCAAAAGCGGACTGTCTCACCATTGTCTATATTCCATCGAATTTCTTTCAGCATTTCAGGCCAAACCTTGCAAAGAGCTTGCATTAAAGGTGAACCCTGTCGGCATCTAGGTTTATCCAGCCTATTGAGAGAGTGAGGCCATACTTTCCTGACATAAGACGCACCCATAGAGGGTTACTTCTCGTTGAAAACCCCCACCCTAGCTTCATCAAGATTCAAGAGTGCGTAATTCATTTTACGCATATCCTTAATGCCCAGGCTACCTTTTTCTTTGGTTTTACAAATGTCCTTCCAAGCGACCAAATGTATTTTCTTCTAGAGCCACCCCAGACAAATGCACGACTTCTACGTTCCCGTCCTAAAGTAATGGAACTTTGCAACAAAGCAGCCTGCATAGAGAAATAGGCAAAGAGTTAAGCACTGACTGAGTAAGAATAACATCTCTTTAGAATAGTTGGCGATTAATCCACCCATTAATCACTCCCTAAAACATCTTTAGATTCGTAACTAAGATAGTTGGCGATCTATCATCAAGACACGTAATTGTGATTCAACCATTATTCATTCCTAATTTGTTATTTTAGTGTTACATTATTCATGTTTGGAATAATTGTCCAGGCAACCATTTATCCCTAAATTTTATTTTTAGGGCATGATTGGTATGGAGAAATAACATGAGAATTGAATGATCATTTCTTCACGCATTCCCTATCTTATGATTGGTATACATTTATTAAAGGAATGACCATTTCAATGGAAATGACAAAACTCATCTCCATGGGATTAGTCATTCTTTAGTTCATGGAAGGTTTTCTCATTCCCATGTGTGTAGGATTTTAATTTTTTAAAAAATAAAATTAACAAAGAATAATAAAAAAATAAATATATAACATATATTATAAATCATGATTAAAGTATATTAAATAAAATTATTTTATAATATAAAATTCAAATAAAAAAATTGAAAACATACTTTTATTTATTGTTTAATTAGATATATTAAATACTTATATAAAAATAAAACTTAAAAAAAGCATTTATATATAATTTAAATATATTATTTTATTTTTATGTATTATTAAAAATATATTATTATTATATATAAAAATATATTAATTTTGAAAATTTATTATTAAAAAAATAATATTAAAAAATATTAAAAATATATATTATTAAAAAAAATAAAATTCAAATAAAAAATTCAAAACTTACTTTTATTTATTGTTTAATTAAAAAATAAAAATATTTTTTTCTTATATATTAAAAATATATTACTTTTAAGAATATATTATTTTTATTATATAATTTAAAAATATATTATTTTATTTTTGTATAACTTTAAAAATATATTATTTTTTATATTATTAAAAATATATTATTTTATTTTTATATATTATTAAAAATATATAATTTTATTTTTTCATATTATTAAAAAAATCATTTATATATAATTTATTAGAAATATACTATTTTTTTAAAAAAAAAACTTTTATTTATTTTTATAATAAAAAATGATAATGTCATTCCATTCAGGTTTTATTTCTTCTGCATACCAAACGCATCAATGACAAAACTTGTTTCATTCCATTCTATTCTCATAATCTTTTTATTTTTCAGTTTATTTCATTCTTACGAAATTCTATTCCAGTATACCAAACATGCCATTAGTGTTATACAATTCAAATTTTTGGAAAAATTGTTTAAGCTATTTTCATATTTAAATCTGAAATAATTAAAGAACAAAAAAGATGTTATAAGCTGCGAGATTACTTTAAAAAAATATACATGTATATTAATTTCCAAGAGTAACATATATAGAAAGGAATGAGAAGATACCGTTACATATATGGTCACTATTATGGTACGGATAAAATAATGTAAATGATATAATCAGCTTGAATGAACTTTTCAGAAAATAAAAGATATACATTTGCGAAAAAAATACAAATAAAAGGTGATAAAATACAATAATTTTCAATTTTCTGATTTTCAAAACATTTAATAATCTATATTAAAAATAAGTAGCAAACTGTCAATCTTTCAATATTAATAATCAAGAGAGATAATATAGCTTTAAATCAAGAATCCCAAATGGGGCCGAAGGCTGCGAACCCAGCAGCTTTGCACGCGTCGACGACGTCCCTACTCCCCTCTGGATTACTGGTCACGATCACCACCTCGGCTCCAAACCCCCTGGCCGTCTTCACACTCATCTCCGCCACATTCGGCCGCCCCATCACGGCCGTGTCGTGCACGATAACCCTTCCGGCCTTTGAAGCTTCGGTCATCCACCCCTTGATCTCCGCTCCGTAATTCTCCTCCACTCCCTTTGTCACCCACAGCACGCACACCTCTGCTGCGCTGGGCTGCAGAAGGAACGACAGGAACACACAAATCCCCGACCCCGTTGCCACCAACAGAGCCCTACCGTACATGTTCGTCAGGTATGGCAGCCCCGCAAAGTGCACTTGTCGGACCCACAGGTGTGTAGGGGGGTTCGAAACCAGGGACTTGGTGAAGTCCCCGACCGCACCCGCCAGCATCATGTGTTCTTTCTTGCCGTCGGAGATAATCCCGAAAGCATGCCACTCAGAGAACGGTGACGGGCTTATCCTCCCGAGGATCCCTGACTTGACCCCACCATCGAACTTGATGATTGCGGCATGGCCCGAAGGAGACGAGACTTGCACTTTAACTTTTCTCACTGTCAGCCACGGCACGATGATCAATACGGTTGTGGCGAGCGTGAACCAAAACTCCTGGCTTCTGGCGAGCCTCGACCCGAACTCATCGCGGTAGGATTCAGTTCTCGGGTTGTATGAGACGGTAAGGAAGGCGAAGGCCCATAGGAGAGCGAGCGCGGCCCAGCCCGCGAACCGGTGAGTCCGCTCGAACACGTTGTGGTGGAGATGCCGGAGGAGGGGGAACGCTGCAAGCGCCGACAGCGCGAGGAGACCGAGGATTGCTGCCGCCACGCCGAAAGCCTCTGGTGGCGTGCCGGAGCCATCCCTGGCAGCAAGGACGAGGGCGTAGACAAGCCAGGCGATGGAGGAGATTCCGCAGCCGCTGTGTATGCCTCCGAGCGACTGCAGTAGGGACGTCGTCATCGTCTTTAGACGAAGAGGGACCCACGAGTGGCCGAAAGCGGCCACGACCGCCCAGAAAACGAGCCTTAGGAACGCCTCACTCCGGCAGAGGACGAGCGCGAAGACATTTGCGATAGAGAACAAGGCGGGTCGGGCCCTGGCGTAAGGGAAGTTGCCAGTTGCCGCGAGGGTCAGTCCCACAACGTTTAGGGCCACGCAGACAAAGAGGAGACGCTTGTAGACGGTGAAGAGGCCCTGGTCGAGGAGGATGACCGAGAGCCTCGAGGTTTTTGGTTTTGTAGGGGTTTGGCGGCGTTTGCTGGCGGCGGGCGGGAGGACGAGGAGTGGCTGAGGTGATTGGTTGCCGGTGTTTTGGGCGTTGCCTTCCTCGATTTTGGCTAAGGTTTCGTCTTCATCCCCCGTGTCGCAGTCTTCTTCTTGTTCTTGAGTTTCGAGGTCACAATAATGGCTGCTGGTGCGGCTCATGGTCCTCTGGATGAGCTCGGAGGACGGGAAGATCCTCGAGATGCTCCCGAACGGGAGCCATCTACTTGAGTTGGCTCCCGGCCAGGCACTAGAGTTCCGGGCAGGGTTGGTGACCCTCTCCGGGACGGCAAACGGGTCGAGGTGGGGTTTGATTTCGAACGCAACTCCCCTGCAGCTGGAAAACCTGTTGAATTTGTCGGAATTCTCCATTTTTTTTTTTTCCTGTAATTAGCTCTTCTTTTGTAAAGTATATATATTATCTGAATCTGGTAAGTTGTGTGGTGGTTGATTGTGAAGGAGAGTGCTCTATTTATAAATGAGCCCTGCAGAAGGTTACAGCGTAAAATGACTTGAACATTAAAACGTGTTAATTTGGATATACCGTTTTCAGTATTATATTGGCCAAATAAAACAATATTGATATGGTGGACTTGGTAAATACATAGTAATATAGGCGCGCATTATTTGAATTATTTATTTTATTTTATTTCATAGATGGAAGGAAAAAG